ACAGTTTTCAAAAGCTTAAAGACATTCAAGTTGAAATTCTGTGCCTTGATGGTAACTATGATGATTCAATTGATGATGTAGAAACTCTTTTTTATGATGTCATTGTAAGTATTAAAAATTGTTTACCTAAATCTAATTTACCAGGACCAGCTAATTTAGCAACTAATATTGCTCAATCGGTTTCAATTCCACCTACTCAAAGTAATAATTTTATTTCTGCTGCTAAATTGCCCCCAATCGAGATACCTACCTTTGATGGAAAAAATTTAACCAATTTCAAATCTTTTATCGATATATTTAATGCTGTCATCGATAAAAATCAACAGTTAAAAGATGTTGAAAAGCTCTTTTATTTGAGAAATTATTTGAAGGGTGAGGCTTTAAGCTTAATTGATAATCTGCCACTAATAAATTCTTCATATCAAGGTGCCATAGATATTTTAAATAACAGATTTAATAATGAAACTATGATCATAAATTCACATATTTTTTCTATTTTGGATATTCCTGCCATACAAAAAGGTACAGCTCATGCACTTAGAGATTTTGTAAGTCGCATCAAGCAGCAAATTGGAGCTCTCAAAAACCTAGCCCAGCCTGTTGACAACTGGGACATGGTGATGATTTGTATTTTAAGTAGAAAAGTTGACCAATTTACCAACAGAGCCTATCAAATAGATCGTGATAGTTCCAAATTGCCGACTTTGGATGAATTCTTGGCCTATTTAGAAAATAGAGCTACAGCCTTAGAGGCAACTAGTAGTACCCCAGAGCATAAAACTAAAGAAAAGGTTTACGGTTTATTAACAAAACAAACCAATGTAAAATGTCCCTTTTGTTCAATATCTGGACATAAACTGTATAATTGTAAAAAGTTCAAATCCGTACTAGTAAAGGATCGTATATCTTTTGTCGACAGACAGAATTTTTGTAAATTATGTTTGAATATTCATTCTGGAAAGTGTAAAATGTTGTTTCGGTGTGGTATGTGTCAAAAGGAACACAATACCCTGCTGCATTTGGACAAGCAATGTGAAAATAATAATTTTCCTACTGAACGCAGAGTCATGTATTCCAATGCCTCACAGCAAGAATCTGTACTTTTACCTACCTTAAAAGTAAAAATTAAATCTAATAAAGGCAAATATATTTACGCCCGAGGTCTGGTTGACACCGGCTCTCAGATTTGTTTAGTAACAAACAGTTTAGTTGAAAAGCTAGGATTAAAAGCCTTTAATAGTTCTTTGAATATCACTGGCATATCGGAGACTAAAACTAAAATTAATAAATCAATAAATTTAAATATTGAATCTTTGGTTTTTGATTATTCAAAAAACATAAAGTGTGCGCTTGTTGACACTATTACAAGCAATTTGCCTAATGTAAGTTTTGATATTTCAGAGTTTGAAACGCCTCGGAATATTCATTTGTCTGATGACAGTTTTTACCGCTCGGGACCGATTGATTTTTTATTGGGTGCAAATGTGGCAAACAGAATTATAAAAATTCAAAACTTAACTTCAACTTTTAAATGGTTATATATTAACACGAAAGAAAATCCTGCCGATTGTCTATCCAGGGGTCTCGAGCCTCAGGAAATTGAGTCAAATAATCTGTGGTTCCACGGTCCAAACGTTCTTTCTGATATTAATTTTTGCCATAATGAGATTCCTATAGAAATTCCTGCTTCCTTGCCAGAAGAAAAAATTTTAACACAAGTCATAAAAACAAAGCCAAATTCATTTTTTGAAGATTTTTCATCCCTTGGAAGACTTCAAAGAGTTTTTGCCTATATACTTAGATTTGTTCACAATTCTGGAAAAAATTCTGGTGAAAAACTTGAGGGAAGTTTGAAGCTTTCAGAACTGGAACACAGTCTTAGAGTAATCATAAAATGTGAGCAAGACTTTTACTTTTCTAATGACATTAAATCTTTACTTTCCAATACCCCTTTAAAATCCTCATTAAACTCTTTGTCGCCGTTCCTAGATGGCAATGGATTATTGCGAGTGGGTGGAAGGTTACATAATTCAAACATTCCATATAATCAGAAACATCCTGTGATCTTGCCCAAGGAAAGTCACATCACCAAATTAATTATAATACAAGAACATTCAACTTTGTTGCACGCTGGACCAAGACAAGTTTTAGGTTCCCTAAACCTCAATTATTGGCTCATAAATGGAATAAGATTAATTAAAAAAGAGCTACACAAATGTGTGATTTGCTTTAAATTCAAAGCAAAATGTTCCACTCAATTAATGGGTTCCTTGCCGGAAAAAAGAGTCTGTTCAGCCAGAGTGTTTCAAAATGTCGGGGTAGATTTTTGCGGTCCCTTCCTCGTTAAGCAATCTCGAATTAGAAAATCCGTAAGTTCCAAGGCATACATAGCACTTTTTCTGTGCTTTTCAGTCAAAGCAATTCATATGGAACTGCTTTCAGACCTGACAACCGAAAATTTTCTAGCTGCTCTGAAGCGTTTTATTTCGCGGAGGGGGAAGCCCGCAAATATTTTCTGCGACAATGGTTCCACGTTTAAAGGAGCCGAGAATAAAATCAAAGAGTTTTATAACGAAACAGAAAAAATTGAAAATTATTCCCTTCAGGAAAAAATTACATTTAATTTTATACCGAGCTATTCTCCAGTTTTTGGTGGTTTATGGGAAGCTGGAGTAAAATCGGCAAAATTTCACATCAAGCGAGTCATAGGTAGCAATGAGCTTACCTATGAACAATTTAATACTCTTATTGTCCAAGTAGAAGGAATTTTAAATTCCCGACCACTTGTAGCCTTGTCACAAGATCCTTCAGATTTGGACTATTTGACCCCTGGTCATTTTTTGATAGGTGCGCCTATCACAAGCTTTCCTGACCCTGATTTGACGGAAATTCCCCAAGGTCGACTTAAGTTTTGGAAATTGTGTGTCCAGATGCAGCAGCATTTTTGGAAAAAGTGGTATCACGACTATCTAACGCAACTCCAAAATAGGCCAAAATGGCGTGATGAGATGCCTAACCTTAGGGAGGGCTTGTTAGTCATTTTAAAAGAGGATAATGTACCTTCTTATAAGTGGCCAATGGCAAGAATAGTTAAAGCAATACCTGGAAAGGACGGCAAAGTAAGGGTTGTCGAAGTGAAAACCAAAAAAGGTATTTATCTCAGATCGGTTACCAAGATTGCAGTGTTACCGATTGATGACAATAATTGTTAATAATATTTTTGAAAATTATTCACAAAATTCTGTACATATATTTGTAAAACATTTAGATTTATATTTATATTCAATTAGCTATACTCGTATATACATACATAATGTCATACTATGTGTTCCAGAAATGTTTTTAGCTTTAATTGTTAGTTAAGTTTTCGTTTACTGGATCATCATTGAAATCATACCTTTTTTTAAAAAAAGGGTTGCTTACTTTCTCTTTAATTTTTTTATTTTTTTTGCTGGAAAATTTTACCTTGGTTTCATGTGAAACTCTAGGCCCCCCAGCATGTTGGAAACATGTTCCAACAATCATGCTATCTCTTTTTGATGGCAAAATATTTTTATACATATAAAGTTTGCAACACTGCAGCGTTGTCGTCATGTCTATTTTGTCATGTCTGTCAATATATTGCGCGCCATTTTTGTCATTGCAGCAGTGTAGCTTGGAGCTTGTCCACGTTAACAAGCATCCAGAAACCTTTTCACATTTTAATAAATTTTATAATCTAGCTCTGCCCTGTTGGGCATCTAAGCAAGCTCTGGCTTCTTGTCATCTTGTAGTAGTAATTGTAAATAGTGTAAATATTGTGTAAATTGTTGTAAATATAGTGTCAGTGAAAAGCGCGTGTGTTTTAGTTCCCTATCCAGTCGATCATCCAGTCCACCTAATTATACAGTCCACTAATTATCAAGTTATTTATCTTCCATTATGTGGTTTTGCACAAACGTGCCGGCTGGCGGCCGCTCATTTGCCGACTGCGTTTGGTTTGTTGGGAAGGAAGCAGAAAACTATCCATTATGCTTGTTTGTTTACCTTAACACAAAATTCTTGCTTGAAAGGCAGAGGATACACTTTCATGAATTTGGTGACTGGTTTGCCAATACGAAGTTTTAAAATCCAAGCTTTTCTTCTCGACACTAACTCTTTTTCCATATTCGATTCCAAATAAACCGGGCCTGTTTCAACGGAAAATATGTAGAAACTTAAACCTTTGTCAGCTTTTTTTTTTTAGCCCAAAACTTGCACTGAGGAACACAACAGTAGTGACTAAAGGTCATGATTGAATATATCTGATATAATTTAGACTAATATACTAGAAACTAGTAGTTTCTAGCCAGATCATAACCTGTGGTGCAAACAGCATACGTCAAGGAGAGAAACGCCATAATGCCTACGTCACAACTGGTTTTTTGGCATAGGGAGGTAGGGGGGGATTTGTTACACACGGGCCTTATGAGGATGAGCCATCCTGTAGTAGTGTGTATCATCCTTGAACATACGGAAGGCCGCCTATTATAGCCGCTTTCCAGCTGACATTAGCCGTTTTCTCGCGTCCACTTTTTTGACATTGGTTCAAAACATTTTTGAAACGGGCAATGGTGTACAGTGCAGCACAGTGTTCTGTGTTTGAAACACAAAAGTTAGCAGCTCTCGAAGTTACGGCTGGAACACGAACACGCGCTTGAAGCATTTGCGCGCGCAAAAGCTCGAACATCCCTTTTCACGTGGCTCCGGTTTAACAAACCGCAACATACCGCTCAAATTCGACTGCTAGGTATCCATCACGTCACTTTGTAAACGGGTTAGAAAACGCGAAAACGGTATGTCATTTCTCTAACCGTTTTGTAACCCGGGTAGTTAAACCGAAGCCACGTGAAAAAAACTATTGCGTGCTCAAAATGGTCAGCTGGAAAGCGGCTTATAACAATAGTTGTATTCCTTTCAAGAGTTTGAAACACTCGAGCTACTCGCTCCGGTGTTCAGTCGCCCCCGATTTCCGATTTGCAGGGAACTGATGCGTGGCGCAACAAACACTTTTCGGAAGGAATAAGCGCGTGAAGCCCCGGAGCTGTTCCGGAGCTCCTCCTAGGTGTGAAAGGAATACAACTTATATTGAAAAACGGAACAGATCCCACATTCAAATCCAACAGGTGTCAATTTGTCATTAGCGTCATTTAAATTTAAAAGTTTTGCTTTTATTTATTTATTATTTTCACTTTTTCTGTCAATATTTATTGTTTTGGTTTTCTATTTGCCTAACAAACTTAGTTAATGCAATAATTGTGTGTGCTCCAGTTTCGTGAAAATTAATATAACAATACCACCGTTCCTTACATAAAATGTCTCCAGAAATTAATGGAAACCCGCCAAGTGTTACGAAACGTAAGAAAAACCGCGACAAAAAATCTACAGCCACAGGGGTCACGCATAGTTTTGATTTGAATATGCCCAGTTGCAATTATTTCCCTATGAACCAGCATCATTATCCTAATTTTAATATACCGGAAATGACCAGCAATAATGCTTATTACCCATTTGTGAACTATACAAATCCTACTGAACCAATGTCTCTTCCTATTTATCCAATGAATTATCCTGGATATAGTTGCATGGGAAGCATGGGTAACATTTCCAGACACTCGACTTTATCGAATCATACATTTAATATTACATCGGAGCTCCCCGATTACATGAGCTTGCCTGTAGTGAATATTGACCAGAATGAAGAATCCAAACGCAGATTCTCAGATCCTGGACTCCCAAACGACAGCAGCGATTCCTGCTCCAACTCGTGCGATGGAAGGATAGTGCAAAAATTAACACATCAAATACACTCTTTAAGAGACAGCAATAACCGATTAACCAGAGAAGTAATGGAATTGAGGATTGAATTGAATTTATTGAAGCAACAGCAAACTAGCAGGCATTACGATCGGGAATATGAACCAGGAATGTTGGCTGACGTTATAAGGGAAGTTAGAGAGGCTGCTAGAGTTAGGGAGGATGCTTTATTGGCTAGGGTGAAGCATATCATGGAGGAGAAACATTTGAGTGTGGTAAGCATTTAATTTATTCTTCAGGTACCTAATAAACAAAAAAAGTAGGCATTATAGATACATACTTTTTAAATGTCTAGTTTTCTGAAATAAAATCCCGGAAACCAGATTTGATTCATAAACATTCCTTACTATAAAAGGTTTGGCAAAACCAGGTGTGTCTAGAGCATCAGTAATTTATTTTTATATATTTTTTATTTCAAGGTAACCATTCAACCTTGTAAGTTTTGTATTTGATATTGCAAGCCAAATCATTTACATTTTTTAAATGAGATTCATCTCTTCTGAAAAGCTAACAAGAGAAGGGAGCGTAAACACTATATTTACATTACATCTGTATCATTTTATGAGGATTTTGGATCAGCAAAACAAAATTAATTGATGACTATAAAGTATCCATTCCATTCAATCTTTCATTGAACAAAAATCATAAGAAAACTAAGAACCTATGTCTCATTTAAGAATCTTAAATTTTACAACTTTCATTGATATTAAAAAAAAGGTAATTCTTCTACAATAAATAAATTTGCCCTTTTATTTTTCGTTCTTCAGTAAGGACACTTTGATTCAGGACAACTTTTTTTCTGAGCTGGATAAGATAAGATTAACTGTATGTACAAAAATAAATTTAACACAGGCTCAAATTGTCAAATATCTCGTACTTCTTCATCAGATTCTTCTTCTTGATTATTTCTGAGTTTCATTTCATTCTCATCATCACTATCTTGATCATCATCATCTTCCTCTTCTTCTAATTCTGCCATTAAGGATTCTTTGTCTTTTACTGCTTTTGTTCTTTTTTCTTGGTCACCTTGTAAACTTAATGATTGCGGCAAATCAATTAGCTTCGCCAGTTTAGTATCAGAATCACTGCTTTTGTTTGAATTAGGTATAAACCTAGGAAAAGGTTTCTTGTCTTTTGCACACAATTTTTCACCATGAGCATCGCTTACACTAGTTATTTCAGCAGGTGTTTTGGAGTCCGATTTTATATCCAATTTTTCCATTTTCTCACTGGTTAAAAGTAGAGCTTCTCTGAATTCTATTTCCGCGTTCACCTTGAGGCTGGATTGGCGTACTTTTGCCCCATTATCGGGCAAACGTTTGAGAACACTGGGGTGTTTTAGAAGGGAGGTATATCGATCTCGGTATTCATAAAGTTCTTCTAGGGAGTACTTGCTCACGTCGATATCTTTCTGCATTATTAATTTGATGATTTGTGATAAAGAAAAAAAGAGAAAAAAAAGTTCTTTATTATTTATATTTTATTATTCTACTTCTAGTTTCTACTTTTCTGCGAACACAAATCTTCAAAATAGTTCAAAACAAAGAAATTTGAGGTTAAGTTGTTTTATTTGACATTCGAGACTTCTGGCCGTGTACCGTTTTTACATCTGGTAAGTGTGGTGAAAAGTATCGATACCGTATCGGATGAAAATATCGATTCACGAATCGTATCGAATTAAAAGTATGGATATACCTATATCTCGGCGAAAGAAACGAACCAAACCAAAACGTTTGTCTACACTCAGTGACTAAATAAACCTTCACAAACAGTGGCGACAATCAAGGTTCCTAAAGTCAACAGGTTGTCTGGTGATGAGTAAATTGATGACGCATCTGGGGTGCTTTATGGAGATTTGCATTATGTTCAGGCATACAGATGACGTCATAAAAGTTATCAGGCCACCTCCCTCTTTCAAACAACCTTGGGCGACAATAGAGGTCCCGGCGCCATTTTAGGGCTTACCGCTTGCTACTTTTAAATATGAATATATAGGATTTTTAATGGACATCCATCATAAGAAATTGAAAACAACGTATTTGATGACTATTATCATGTACAGGGTGATTCATTCAAGAATGGCACTCGGCCATATCTCAAAAACTATTCATCGTAGTCTTGTCGGAAAAAAATTATCCCATAAATATGGCCAAGAGAAAATGCTGGAAATATATTTCAGCTTTCTAAAATGACCGTAAGGGGGCGTAACCCAACTGTCAAAGTACAAAAATGGTTTTATTTTTGAAATTTCAAATGGAAACGTATCTTGAAAATGCTGGCAATAGATTTTTGATGAAATTTCACACAATTTTGATTCATGACTTTTCACCAGAACTTATCGGATAAGATAGTTATGAGCTGTCAAATATTGCAACTCAAGAAAGCGGATAACTTCAAAACGCCTCAACGAATCTGGTTAATCTCAGGTTTGTTGGAAAGACAAGAGTCTGTTCTTTAATTTTGTTGTGAAAAATTCCAATTCTGGTTAGTAGGACTGACGTTATGGGTCAATATTTGAAAACCATTGAATGTTTCCAATTTTTCTTGAAATTTTCAAATGGAACGGTATATTTAAGATATGTTCAATCGATTTTTTAGGATGTTTTACACGGTTTTTCTTTATCATACCTTCCTACAAACGAATTCCAGATAGTGTTAAAATTAATTTTCTCAAAAATAATCAGTATTCATAAAAAAGCCCTCGTAAATTGAACAGATACCAGTTAAATATGTCAGGCTGACACATTTTCAAGGATGCGTTCGAAATCACCCTGGGCGTCACACCGAGTGCACACCAGCCATGTATATAATTTATAGCTGGTGTGCACTCGGTGTGACGCCCCAGGGTGATTTCGAACGCACTCCAAACGTTATTTTCTAAAGTCAAAATGCATTTTCCAAATGGAGAAGCACAAGACACCCTTGAGCTGCATGAATGTAACGGAAATGCAGCAATCGCAGCACGTATTTATTCAGGGCGTTATCCCCAAAGACCTCACCTTGACCCTAGATCCATCAGGAGGTTGAATAATCGTTTAAGGGTTACGGGTAGTATTCATACCCCCTTTTTTACTCGAAGACGTAGGGCCACGTGCGAGGAAAATACAACCAACGTTCTGGCACTATAATTTCCTAACGCACTTTTTTTTATTATTTGACGTTCATCAATGATGACAATCAACTGTCAGAAAAACGAAGTCATTATTTACGAGGGCTTTTTCATAAATATTGATTATTTTTGATAAAATTAAATTTAACACTCTCTGGAATTCGTTTGTAGGAAGGTATAATAAAGAAAAACTGTGTAAAACATCCTCAAAAATCGATTGAACGTATCCTAAATATACCGTTCCATTTGAAAATTTCAAGAAAAATTAAAAAAATTCGATTGTTTTCAAATATCCACCCATAGAGTCACTCTAACTAACTGAAGTTGGAAATTTTTACAACAGAATTAAAGAACATACTCTTGTCTTTCCAACGAACCTAAGATCGACCCAATTCGTTGAGTCGTTTTGAAGTTATTCGTGTTATTAAGTTGCAATATTTGACAGCTCATAACTATCTTATCCTAGGGTGACCATACGTACAGCATTTCGCTGTATTGTACAGCATTTTGAGAGTTTGTCCAGCATTTGATTTTGTACAGCAAACGTACAGCGATTCGGATTATATAGGTTTTTCTCAAAAATTGTACGAAAAATTGTCTGTCAATAACTAACGCCACATCTCTAATTATTTTTATTTTTTTCTGCAAATGCATTTTCTTACTTTGTTTGTCTCATGTTGAGTAAATGAGAATTTTTATTTTTGGTTGGGAGTTATGTTTCAGGTCATTGTGTATTTTCTATTATCATCCAATTTTTTTTTCAAAAAATGGTACTAAAACGATCTATAAAAGCTCTGTTCCAAGTTCCAACCGACATGAGAACTATTGAGAACCGTTCCAGAAACAGTAATTTTCAGTTGCCCAGGTTGCTTACCTATTTTTCACGTTTTTTTGAACGTTTATCCTACTTGACAAATGAATTGATCGACTGGAAATTACTGTTCTAGAATAGTTCTCATGTTGGTTGGAACAGAGCTAAAGTCGACAAAATTTGCCCAAAAAACCATTATTGGGCGTCGAACCGTTTTTTTTTTTTAGTACAGCATTCATGAAAAAAAAATATGGTCACCCTATGACTTATCCGATAAGTTCTGGTAAAAAGTCATGAATCAAAATTGTGTGAAATTTCATCAAAAATCTATTGCTAGCATTTTCAAGATACGTTTCCATTTGAAGTTTCAAAAATAAAACCATTTTTGTACTTTGACAGTTGGGTTACGCCCCCTTACGGTCATTTTAGAAAGCTGAAATATATTTCCAGCATTTTCTCTTGGCCATATTTATGGGATAATTTTTTTCCGACAAGACTGACTACGATGAATAGCTTTTGAGATATGGCCGAGTGCCATTCTTAATGAATCACTCTATACTTATCCCAAAGTATAGCAAGTATAGATACGTATCGACTGTTGCCCAACATTACACCCAGTTAATCATCATCATCAGGTAATCAGGTAGCTTGTGCTGATTATACAATTTTAAATATTTTCTGGCTAGAATGTGTTACAAAGGACATAAATTTAATAAGACCATTGACCGTTTTATTGGACAGAGAAATAAAGACAGAAAATAATGAAAACAATTACTGACAATCCGGTGTTTAAGCGGGTTTTTTTATTGCGTAATATTAATCTCTGGATATATCTAAGTACATCCATTTTTAGGAGACCCGTGTTTTTTATTTTGTTCAAATGTTATCACTAACTTCTGAAAAAATATATTAAAATTCCTAATTTGAATTTTAATGCAAGGGAGCGCGTGACGTCATCGACCGCAAGAGGCGCAGTACCACACAATACCACGAGATGGCGTACTGTCTTTTATAGAGTTTACTGTAGCATTTCGCATCTGTTATGTCACTGTGATTTACGTCAAGGCAATGTTATTATTGTTTACATTACTCCATCCCTGTAAAAAAATATCTCGACTGCAGACTATTATATTTAACAAAAATAAGAACTTTCAGTGGCGCCATCTATTGATGATTCTGGGAGATGACGTCAGAATCTTTATTCGTCCGTTTGAATTGGTGGATAATAATATCAATTTATTTTTTTTTTTGCTTCTTCAACTGTGTCCTTCCAGTACACTACTGTGCTTATTTTT